CGAAGGGCCGCTGACCGACCGGCTACTGTGACAACTTAAGGAGATGAGGTGTTAGTGGCTGATCGTAACAGCACGTGTTGTCCCCATCGGATGACATTTACATTTAATTGTGGCCTTGAATGCCAGCAATAGTAATCCTAGAGAGGTAAGAACGGCTACCAGGAGCCTCCGGCTCAGCGGGGGGCCTTGGAAAAGCTCTGGGACGTGGTCATGAGCTTCCACAGCCATTTTTTATCACATCCGCCAAGGGCAGCTGTCCTCTCCTCGGGCGCAGATATATCTGAGTGTTCCAAAGCGGGCAGTTGGGTATTCTTTTGAAGGTCCTCTGGGAACCCACGGTAGCTCAAGTTTGATGTTCCAAGAGCAATAAATCCAAATGTTTAATGAAAAAGTCTTTTAAAATTTGAACTCGTTTGGGCAACTGGGAAATAACCCTCCTCGCCAAGCCTTCTTTCATCTTCTTTATTTAAAAAAGTTATTTTATTTATTCTTGAGAGAGAGAGAGAGAGAGTGCATAAGCAGGGGAGGGGCAGAGAGAGAGACAGAGAATCCCAAGCAGGCTCCACACTGTCAGCATGGAGCGCAGTGCGGAGCTCGAACTCACAAACCGTGGGATCATGACCTGAGCGGAAATCAAGGGTCCGTTGCTTAACTGCCCAAGCGTCCCTGAGCCATCTTTTATGTATGTAAAGACAGGAATTAAGTGTCATCCGTTCTGAACAATATGACCTCAATTTTTCTAGACTTCTTTTAATAGGAAGTCCTTTTGCACCTGCTTTAGCATATCCCCTTTTCCTGGGTTTGCTCCACTTTCCCACATAACTTCTAAATTGCAGGGGCGGTGCCTTACTTGCACCACCTGTGGTTTCCTTTGGAATGCCAACAGCAGGTGCAGCCCACACCTGCTGTGCACACACACACACACACACACACACACACATCCACCACAGAAACTGCTTTGGAGATGGGGTCAAACAAAGAACATATGACCCTGTTGCATAAAAATGAGGGTTGGAAGGATCATGGTGGTAGATGTGCAGTCCCCTTACTGAGGTCCTTGCTCCCTTCGGGGGGGATGGTTCAGTGGTGAAATCCCTGCACAACTTCGTACAGACTCACTTGTGAGGGGAGCCCTTTGCAGGCTGCCCACTTTCTAACTGGGTTCAGGACTCCCAAACCACACCCTTTGCCACTTCATGGGGATTCCTCTAAAACCAAGATACCCTCTTACATGGCCACAGCACAGTTATCAACTGCAGGAACTTAATATCAATACCATAGTTTTAGCTAATCTCTAACCCATGTTCCAATACCGTCCATTGTCCCAGGAATGGCCTCCTCGCATTCAGTCCGGGATGCAGCCCGGATCACGGTGTGCGTTCAGTTGTCATTTATTCTCCTTTACTCCGAATGCTTTCGCAACTGCTCTATGCCTTTTACGACATTGACATTTCTTTTTTTATTTTTTTTTAATTTTTTTTTTTCAACGTTTATTTATTTTTGGGACAGAGAGAGACAGAGCATGAATGGGGGAGGGGCAGAGAGAGAGGGAGACACAGAATCGGAAACAGGCTCCAGGCTCTGAGCCATCAGCCCAGAGCCTGACGCGGGGTTCGAACTCACGGACCGCGAGATCGTGACCTGGCTGAAGTTGGACGCTTAACCGACTGCGCCACCCAGGCACCCCGACATTGACATTTCTAAGAAGACTACTTATATGTTTTTTTAATTTTATTTTTTTTAAGTAAACTCTACACCCAATGTGGGACTTGAACTCTTAACCCTGAGATCAAGAGTTGCCCACTCTACCAATGGAGCCAATCAGGTGCCCCCAGCCTACATATTTTATAGAAAGTTTCTCAGTTTGGGTATATCTGGTGTTTCCTCGTGATTACATCAAATAGATTTTGAGGGCTTCTCCATGGAAAGTTAGAAATCATGTAGTGCACAGCATGGTGACTATAGTTAATAGTGTCGTATTGCATATTTGAAAATAGCGGGCGGGGCACTGGGGTGGCTCAGTCGGTTAAGTATCTGATTCTCGATTTTGGCTCCGGTCGTGATCTCCCGGTTCGTGGGTTTGAGCCCTCCATCAGGTTCTGCACAGACAGTTTGGAGCCTGCTTGGGATTCTGTCTCCCTCTCTCTCTCTCTCTCTCCCCGTCCCTCCCCACCCCCTCTCAAAATAAATAAATAAACTTAAAAAAAAAAAGGGGGCGCCTGGGTGGCGCAGTCGGTTAAGCGTCCGACTTCAGCCAGGTCACGATCTCGCGGTCCGTGAGTTCGAGTCCCGCGTCAGGCTCTGGGCTGATGGCTCAGAGCCTGGAGCCTGTTTCCGATTCTGTGTCTCCCTCTCTCTCTGCCCCTCCCCTGTTCATGCTCTGTCTCTCTCTGTCCCCCCCCCCAAAAAATAAATGTTGAAAAAAAAAAAAAAGAAAGTTGCTGGGGGAGTGGATCTTGAAATTTCTCATCATGAGAAAAAAATGTGTAACTATGCAGGTTGATGTTAACTGGACTTATTATTATTTCACAATATACACAAATATCAAATCATTATTTGTATGGTTGAAACTAACATAATGTTATGTCGATTATACCTCAAAAGGAAAGACAGACGGAAAGGAAAAACTCTTCCAGTGCCTTCCATCTCATTGAGGATGAAATTTACACATTTACCAAGCCCTACAAGGCCTTGCTTCCTCAGTACTGATCCTTGGCTCGCTCTCTCTGCCTCAGGCCCTTTGCACTTGCTGGTACTACTTCCTGGTATGCTCTTCATCCCGATCATTGCTTGTCATGTTCCCTCATTTTATTCAGGTACGTTTAATTACAAACCAAAAGATAATCTCAGATTCCAATCCACAGCATTCTTTCATCGTTTGGAGCCCTCCTTTCCTGCCAGATTTCTGAGAGCCTTCCTTTCTCTGTTTCCCACCCCCGCAGGGTACACGTGTGTGTGAAACGCTGATTAATACTTTGCTCTTTGGAACCAACCGGGTGTACCTTCAATGTCCAGTCTTTTAAAGATGGGAGTTTGGATTTTAGAGCATTGACTGTTAATTTACGTGACAGTGACATCTAGTGGATCACTAATGACAGTCGGAGCTAAAAGCTCTAAAGATTAAAGGAGGGGCAAAAAACATCAGCCACGAACAGCAAAACTCCACCCTGATTCCTGGATAGATGCTCTAGTGAGGTCTGGAGAATCCAGTGAGATTTCTGTTGATGATGTGGCCATTGATGGGTTAAGGATATCTGAAGATTTAGGTTTCACTATGCATGTTGGGGATGGAGCATGGAGGACAAGCCTAAATATGAAAAAATGAGAGAATTTGTTGTGTGGGATAGCTTAAGCTGCTACAAGTTCATTTTTCAAGAGGTTGATTTATCACTCAAAAGCGAGGGGCGCCTGGGTGGCTCAGTCGGTTAAACACCCGACCTCAGCTCAGCACAGGTCATGATCTCATAGTCTGTGGGTTCAAGCTGTGCTGACAGCTCAGAGCCTGGAGCCTGCTTCAGATTCTGTGTCTCCCTCTCTCCCTGTGTACCTCCCTCTGCTCACGCTCTGTCTCTCTCTCCCTCAAAAATACACATTTAAAAAAAATTTTTTTAAAGGTGATAGGAACATGAAATTAGTGCATGCTGTCACCAAGTGGTGGTAATAATTCAGAAGTAAAGTAAAATTTTGGTCATTAGGTGGGCTCAGCTGGAAGAAATTAGCAAATTTTGCTCTTGATCTGAAATCAAGAGTCAGATGCTTAACCCAGGTGCCCCTAACAGCAAGCTTTAAAATATAAGATTAAGGAATAGTTTAATAATTATAAGTTTGGACAATTTATATCACAATGAAGAATGTGCAAGTCATGTTCTCGTGTTATGTTCTCAACTTCCACATGAGCAAAGCATGTTATCAGACTTTTTGTTCCTGTTAATCAAAAATTTTATTTTGCCTTTCTCATATGATGCCTGAGATTGAGTAACTTTTCATCTGATTTTATTCTTTTGGTGAATTGTGCCCTTGTATTTTGCCCATTTCTCTATGGAGCTAATGACATTTTAAAAATTGATTTGTAGGAACTCTTTATATATTAGGGTAATTGACTCTTTAGCTGAGATATGAATCGCAAATATTATTTCCGGTGTCTTTTTACCTTGCTTTTGATGGTTTTTGCCATGTAAAATTTTCTTATCGTTTGGGTTTTTGTGTAATAAAGACATTCCCTTCTCTAAGGACTATAAAAGAAAATTATTGCATGGTTTTCTTTTAGTACTTTTACTGTTTATCTTTTCTTTTTAAGTATATGATCAACCTAGAGTCTGTGAAATAGTGTTCTCAGTTTAATTTGTCAGTTGCTGATTGTCCAAACATCATTTATTCAATACTGTACTTTATTTTTTTTTTTGAATGTTTATTTATTTTTGGGACAGAGAGAGACAGAGCATGAGCGGGGGAGGGGCAGAGAGAGAGGGAGACACAGAATCGGAAACAGGCTCCAGGCTCCGAGCCATCAGCCCAGAGCCTGACGCGGGGCTCGAACTCACGGACCGCGAGATCGTGACCTGGCTGAAGTCGGACGCTTAACCGACTGCGCCACCCAGGCGCCCCTCAATAATGTACTTTAAATGTCACCTATCACTTGGGTTCTGCTTTGCCCAGGACTATCCTGGTTTTTACTTGTTGTCCTGGCATAGTTTTGAATTGTGTTCTCTTTCATTCTCCAGTGTGGCCTGGTTTGAAAAATAAATTACATGTTTATCTTCCTACTCATGATAAACGAATACAATACACCTGACCAAAATTGACCCATGGTTAACTTTTACCCCACTGGCTTGTTTGTGCTCTCTCCCTATATTTCTTTTTTCTATTATTATTTTTTTAACATTTATTTATTTTTAAGAGAGCAAGACAGCACGAGCTGGGGGGGGGCAGAGATGGGGGTGGGGTGGGGGTAGGAGACACAGAATCCAAAGCAAGCTCCAGGCCCTGAGCTGTCAGCACAGAGCCCAACGCGGGGCTTGAACTCACAGACCTCGAGATCATGACCTGAGCCAAAGTCAGATGCTTAACTGACTGAGCCACCCAGGGCGCCCCCCACCCCTCCTATATTTCTTAAGAGTAGGAATAGTCTCTTTCATAGCCTCGGTATTTTCCTTGAAGCAGTATTTTTATCTAATCTACTGTCATATTACAATTTTGTCAGTTGCCCTAATAATCCCCCTTATAGCATCCCTGTGCCTCCCCAAGCGCCTCTCTCCCTACCACCCCACCAAGTTTATGGTCAGATCCAGTTTATGGTCAAGCATTGGATTTACTTGTCGTGTCTCTTTGGCTTCCTTTAACCTAGAATTGTTTCCCTTTTATGGCATTGACACTTTTGAAGAATACGGTCTTCCCCTCCCTTTTTATTCCAGAACATTCTTCATTTTCTGTGAATCACGGCCATTCTTAATTACAGAGCTCCACTGCCTCAGTGGGGGCTGAACAAGAATCGATAGCCGTATCTCCTCCATAATCTTCCCAGAAAACTGGATCTCAGGCTCCCTGAATGGGTCTGGTCAGTGATGTGAGTGAGGGAAGGCTTCACACACTGGCTCTGGGACCCCACTCTTCCCCATCCACCTTTGATCACTCTCTTCTAGAAAGTCCTTGGCTTGGCAATTGGTTGATCCCAAGTCTTGGGTCAGAGGGATGGATGTGGTAGGTTCTGAAATGGTGAGAGCCTTTTCAAAATCATGGGGCCAGAAGAATTATGATACCCACTTGCCTGGCCTTGCTGTGTCTGATGTCCCTTCCTGCCTCCCTCCTGCCCTTCCCTAGCCTCCCAAGCCTCTCTAGTCACAACCACTGGCCTCGCTCTGTATCACCTAAAGTCATTCCAGGTGCCTCCAGGGACACAGGAACCCCCCCCCCCCATTAAGAATCATGTCCCCTTGGGGTACCTGGATGGCTCAGTTGGTTGAGCGTCCAACTTTGGCTCAGGTCGTGATCTTGCAGTTTGTGAGTTCGAGCCCCGCGTCAGGCTCTGTGCTGACATCTCAGAGCCTGGAGCCTGCTTCGGATTCTGTCTCCCTCTCTCTCTGCCTCTCCCCAGCTCACACTTGGCCTCTCTCTCTCTCAACTAAATAAACATTTTAAAAAATGTAAAAAAGGGGCGCCTGGGTGGCGCAGTCGGTTAAGCGTCCGACTTCAGCCAGGTCACGATCTCGCGGTCCGTGAGTTCGAGCCCCGCGTCGGGCTCTGGGCTGATGGCTCGGAGCCTGTTTCCGATTCTGTGTCTCCCTCTCTCTCTGCCCCTCCCCCGTTCATGCTCTGTCTCTCTCTGTCCCAAAAATAAATAAAAAACGTTGAAAAAAAATTAAAAAAAAAAAAAAGTAAAAAGAATCATGCCTCCTTACAATCTCTCAGTACTTCTCTCTCTAAGGCCTCAATAAACTGTTTTCCCAAGTCAGACTCAGAGCATTCTTGGACCAAATGGCATGATCCTCACCTGAACAAAAACTTCTTCTTTCTTACATGACTGCCCGAAAATATTTGTGCCCCATTAGGATTGGAGAAAGATCTCCTCCAGACAGCCATCCCAGGGAGCCTGGAGGAACCCTGGTAAATGTAGCTTTTGCTCACCAGCCCAAGTTGCTGTAAGGGCCTTGCTGGAAGAAATCTTGGCAGGAGTCTCTCCCCGTGGACTAGTCTCTATATGGCTCCCCACTCAGCTTTGCTTATTATGGAGCCTGCTTCTGCTTCTCCCCATCTGTGTCCTGAAGGAGTCCCAGCCTGCACGACCCCCCAGTTTGCCGCCCACTGATTGCTTTCTTGTTTGACCCTTGATCTTGTAGATGAGCACATGCTGAGTCCCCACTCCACGGAGCCCGCACGAACCTCTGGACCTCTGACCGACCTGCCCGCTTCTTTCCTAAATTTTGACTTCTGAAAAGATCAACACAGCTAAACCACTTCAACCCGGCAGGGAGAGGCCCCTGCCTTGGCATATCCCTACCCGCTGGAACCCTGACTTAGCAGAAGTTCTCATCATGGGAGATCCAGGAAAGTCTCTGAAAGAAGATGCCGAGGTTCCCAGGAACACCTTTCCTGAGTCTGTGCTATGATTAGGGCATCTTTGTTTTACGCACCTACGTGAAGCAGACATTTTTGGCAATGCCTTTATTCTACAGAACGCCAGCTAGGTCTAGGGCTAAGAAAAGCACCATGTTTATATGCCCACAAATTTTCTCAATCATGAGCAAATTATTTGCTCCTCGCCCCATGAAAAAATGAACTTTCTCTTTTGAGAGTTTGGAGAAAATAAAAAAGAGAAATTAACCAATCAAAGAGAGCTTGGACAATAAAGTGAACAAAGACATTTGCTTTCCAAAAGCGTGTTTAAATATTTTATCTAGAAAAATCTTCCCAAAGTTATAAATAGCGCCTAGCTATCAGTTCCAGCATCAACCTCGGAGAAGTGCTTCCAGCTTTATGACTGAGTTTGTGTGCCTGTGGCCAAATGGATTTGGAATGGAAACTTTTTTTTTTTGTATCTGGCTTATTGTTGTTTCCTTCTGTGGCCACGTATTTGTCTGGGCCATGGGATTACTCAATCAATCAAATATTTATTGAGTAACCAGACAGCCAATGGAAAAACTAGACTTGGATCATATTGTACAGATCATACTATCTGTCTTAAAGTCTTAAGGCAGTTGTGCTCACTAATGGTCATCTCTTTTTTTTTTGGAGCTTAGAAAAGGATCCATTTGGAAAAAGAGAAGTCTCCATGCAGAAGCAAATACATTCCTATGACTTTTGGCAAACAAAATATTCGCAAATTCCGTCGCCCTGTTCTAATATCTATTTATAAATGTTTCTCTCCATTCTAGAGGTTTTCTCTGTAATATGTGGACCATGCCATGACATCCTTTAAAGCTGGAAGTTTTGGGAATTAAATTCTGGTTTCCTTAATTTACTATAGGAATACGTCCCTAGAGATTGTAAGTCCAACATAAATGATGTGTGTGTCAGAAGGCGAGTATATACACCCTTATGTTTTTTGCTAAATGGGTGTAGAGTCACAAGTGCTATTTAGCAATATTTCCGCGTCTCCTCTTTTTGGGGACGTGAAAAGATGTCAGTCGTCTGCCCACTTGAAGTTAGGGTGGTAGGCCAGCTGACTGCTTCGGCCAGTGAAATGTGAGCAAAACTGAGAGGTGCCCCTTTTGGGTAGGTGGTCAACTTCTCATGTTCCCTTCCATCTTCCATGATAGTTGGTAATGTTCTAGCCGGTAGAGATTTTATCAGCATGCATCCAGAGGAGAGAATAAAATAAAGAAGGGTCCCGCACTGACCTGAAATGGACATGTAGCAAGAGAGGGAAATAATGTATTCTAGGCCACTGAAATATCCGGGTTGTTTTTCCTCTAGCATAGCTTTGCATATGCTGAATAATACAAAAATCGGTCTACAGAAGTGGGCCACTGCTATAGCAAAGACCTAAAACAAATGACTGAAGGGCCAGGTAGGGGGTGGCGAGGACACTATGCCTGCAGTAATTTGGGACGTACATTTTACTCCTGCAGCAGGGGCCAGTGAAAACCCAACCCTGCATCAGGGGACCCATGAAGGGTATGGCCATCATACTCCTTGTTAACACCCGTCGATGAATTAAGGTGTCTTTGAGCAAAGTTCCATTAATGGTGTGGGGTCCAAAAAATCCTCTCACTTGCACAGAATGGCTTGGGGAAAAGAGACGAAGTACATACTCAGCTCTCTCATTGAAGCCTGATGGCCTCGGGGAGTTGAAATTAAACTGATAAACAGAGTCATTGGAGCAAGAAAGCAAAGAAATACAGTAAACACGAGAATTCTGTCTCAAAAAGAACTGTGGCTATTGCCATGTGGAGCTGATGGGAAGACGATACATGAGAAGCTGTTTTTGACAAAAGAAGTATTAATCAGGGGTACCTGGGTGGCTCAGTCAGTTGAGCGTCCAACTTCGGCTCAGGTCATGATCTCACAGTTTGTGGGTTCAAGCCCTGCATCAGGCTCTGTGCTGACCACTTGCTCAGAGCCTGGAGCCTGCTTCGGATTCTGTGTCTCCTCTCTCTGCCTCTCCCCCGCTCACGCTTTGTCTCACTCTGTTTCTCAAAAATAAATAAATGTAAAAAAAAAATTAAAAAAAAAGAAGTATTAATCAGCCTGGACAAAGCAGGTGGTGGTTATTTAAGACTATGACTTTGAGGGGCACCTGGGTGGCTCAGTCAGTTGAGCGTCTGACTATTTTGACTCAGGTCATGATCTCATGGTTTGTGAGTTTGAACCCCACGTTGGGCTCTGTGCGGACAGCCTGGAGCCTGCTTAAGATTCTCTCTCCCTCTCTCTCTTTGCCCCTCCCTCGCACACGTGTGTGTGTGTGTGCGTGTGTGTGTGTGCGCTCTCTCAAAATAAACACACTTAAAAAAAAGAACATGACTTTGGGTCTGTAATCAACTAAAAGCAGGAAGTGGGCTGAGAGAGCTGCTCTTCCCAGGGAGGACGTATTCTTGTTGCCCACTTCAAATGCGGCCAGAGAAGAACGAAAAAGGAAAACTTTCAGGAGTCGTAGCCAGACTTCAGGAGGACGACTGGCCGAGACACCTTTTCCCAGGAAGCAATAGGGAACACAATCGAGGAACTTTCCCTCACCCTGGGAAGAGCCCTCAAATGTGCCTGCCCCGTGGGCGTTAGAATTGCTGTGGACCAGTGTCCCCCACTGCCTCTCTCGTCCCCGCTATGTGTGAATGGAGGCACTTAACTGTAGTTCACGTGTACTCGTTCTATCGTTGAAGGGTGGTTGTGGGGAGGGCAGAAAACTTGACTTTCTCCTTCGCGGGTCCCTGAAGCAGAAGGCACCATATCCAGACCTGTTGTAAAAATGGCTCTGCATCTCCCCAAGTCCTGGGTGTAGAACCAAAAGCCACGTCGGGATGAAACTTGCTGTCGGTATTCCTTGGAGGAAGAGACGGGTGTGTTTTACAGGCAGAAAGAAAAGTGAGCTGAGTGTTCAGTAGCAAAAAAGGGCAGACTTTAGCAGCCGTTGGGATTGTTCGATATTTCTTGTTTTTTCTCTTTCTAAGCTTAAAAGGAATACAGCCATCTTGCCACCTTGACGTCCAGCAGGCCGTGTGACTTGCTCTGGCCCATGAAACACAAACGAAATGATCTGCGTCGTTTTCAGGCAGGAGAATTTCAGACGCAGTATTTGACTTGCTTTTTTTCCCTTTCCCCTGCCATGGCAACCAGCGAAGTTCCAGAAGGTGGAGGCTCTGGAAGCCTCGGTTCCCAAGTGAGGACAACACAGAGTAGAGAGTCTTGCCCACCCAACATGGACATACAGCACCAATGAAAAATAAATCTTCCTTGTTTGTTACTGCAGTATAATTTAGCTGAGGTTGACTAATACAGGTGAACATGTTTAAATTGAATATTAAAATCTGAAAAGACAGGGGCGTCTGGGTGGTTCAGTCGATTGAGCGTCCGACTTTGGCTCAGGTCATGATCTCGGGGTCTGTGAGTTCAAGCTCCGCGTCGGGCTCCGTGCTGACAGCTCGGAGCCTGGAGCCTGTTTCGGATTCTGTGTCTCCCTCTCTCTCTGCTTCTCCCCCGCTTGTGCTCTCTCTCTCTCAAAAATAAATAAACATTAAAAAAAATTTTAATCTGAAAAGGCTTTCCTCATGGATAAAAGCCAGTGTCCCTTCACAGGTAAACTTGCTTTTTACTGACCACTTATGCTTGTTGGTTCTCATATATTTCTGTTGAGATTTTTAGTGAAACAAATGATCTACTGTTTTAAATCACCTCCTTATAAGAATACCATAGATTCAGTTATACATGCCCTGTCGGGTAACATGTTTTTGCTAATTTCTTTTTTTTTTTTTAAGTTTCTTTGTTTTTGAGAGAGAGAGTGAGCAAGGGAGGGGCAGAGAGAGAGAGGGAGAGAGAGAATCCTAAGTAGGCACCATGCTATCAGTGCAGAGCCCAACACGAGGCTCAATCCCACAAACCGTGAGACCATGACCTGAGCCGAAATCAAGAGTCGGATGCTTAACGGACTGAGCCCCCCCCCCAGGCATCCGAAATTTCTTGACACTTGTATTATGCCAGTATTTAATAATATATTCAATTTTACTTGTTTAAAATTCACCTGTTCACAATATGGTACATGATATATATTTAAAAAAAATTTTTTTTAACGTTTATTTATTTTTGAGGGAAAGAGACAGAGCGTGAGTAGGAGAGGGACAGAGACAGAGAGGGAGACACAGAATCCGAAGCAGGCTCCAGCCTCTGAGCTGTCAGCTCAGAGCCCCATGCGGGGCTCGAACCCACGAGCGGTGAGATCATGACCTGAGCTGAAGTCAGACGCTCAACCGACTGAGCCACCCAGGCGCCCCCCACGATATTTTTAAACACATGAAAGAGACATTTGTTTTCCCATATTTATAGGAAGACAAGAGCTGCCCTCGAAGCATCTGATATGGATGAAATTAATACCTGCTGCACATCCAATCAGCTCTCGGCCTTGGGTTACAAAGTTGTCACTGGTTGGTAACGGCAAGTATACAGACTCATCTAGGGAAAAAAATCTTTTTCCGACTCTAAGGATGGGTGCCCAGTGTCTATCGTATGCATGATTTTGCAAACGATACGAAAACATTCTTCAAATGAATACCTCATTTCTCTTTATCCAAAGTCAGACTCATCACATTTAATTCTGTGTGAGCTTATCTGTGGGAAGTTAAGATACCCGCCTTCAGGTTTGTGGCTGGCTGGCGATCTAATTTACTTCAGGGATATGGCTTACAGAACCTAGAGAAATGGAGAATTAATGTATTTCCTTCAAATCCCAGGTGTTTACAGCGAACTTCTCTGATAAACGCCTGAAGTGTGTGCGTCTTCTCTGTTTCCTCCTCTCTTGTGAATATTGTCTCTGCAGCTTGGAACGACCCCTTCTCCAACAGTCAGAATCCTTCCTGTCGTCATAGGTACGGCTCCAACGCTAATCTTTCACCCAACGGTTGACAGAGGCAGTAATGAAAATGATAGATTACATTTTTTTTTTAATTTTTTTTTAACGTTTATTTATTTTTGAGACAGAGAGAGACAGAGCATGAATGGGGGAGGGTCAGAGAGAGGGAGACACAGAATCGGAAACAGGCTCCAGGCTCTGAGCTGTCAGCACAGAGCCCGACGCGGGGCTCGAAGTCACGGAGTGTGAGATCGTGACCTGAGCCGAAGTCGGCCGCTCAACCGACTGAGCCACCCAGGCGCCCCGATAGATTACATTTTTAACTAGAAGTCAGTATTATTTAGGTTCCCATGTGCCAGGTGCTG